CAGCCTGAACTTCTTGTCGATTATGTTCCTACAGAATTACGTCAATACACTTTACAACATATTTTCCAATCAACAAACGGTGACTTGATTACCATTGTGTCTCCAAACAACTATTTCTCAGCATCATTCCCTACCATTAAATTTCTTGATAATTTTTCAATTGATATACCCGATAGGGCTCGAATCAATGCTATTTTTCAATCAAACGCAGGACGGTCCTATACCTTTTATAATAATATGTCATATATAGAATTTTCTAACGATTTTACTGATGTGTTGAACAGAGGACGGATAAGAGACATATTTCCTGGGTTACCTGAAGATATTTCTCTCGCATTTCGATGGATTGATGGCCATATTTACTTTTTCCGTCACGCAACTTACTATAAATTTAATGAATTTACAAGAAAAGTTGTTGCGACCGGACCATTTCATTGGACTCTATTTGGAGTACCATGCTCCAGCGAGGATTTGTTACATCAACTAAAAACTCTGTTATCTAAACTTGTATCTGTATATCATTAAAAAATACATTTTTCAGAAAGCTATGTTTATTTCGTATTCAGCCTGTTGTCAAACAAAGAAAAAACAGTCGGTTCCTTCGACTCCCCACCCCCCCACCATCATTCTACTACATAAAGTTTCATTTTGAACGGTATCATCCTGTATAATAATAACAGTACATCGTATACAGGTTATGAGACATTCTGACCGACCGACCGACCGACCAGAGGAGCCCACCACGCTATTTAGGTCACGCCTTGCTATATACGATTTAACGATATACCGTCGGTCCATCGATCCGCTATTTTTCGATGCACCCCTGTATACACGTTCTGAATGCCCCCCGTAATCCACGCCAACACCAGACAGGTGCGACATCGGCGCCATCTATGCGCGAGATGCCCAACCCATCAATGGCAGCTGTCCAATGACACATAGATTCCGTTTGGTTTGTACAGCGCCAAACAAATCGGCGCCATCTATGCGCGAGATGCCCAACCCATCAATGACAGGTGTCCAATGACGTATGACAGATGACGTGTAACGCCATCTATGCGTGAGATGCCCAATGACGCATGACAGGTGTCCAATGACACACAGATTCCGTTTGGTTTGACAGCGCCATCTAGCGGCGGAATCCCCAACTCATGAATACAGATTCCGTCCAACAACCTGTCAATGGCGCGCGACGCCAGCGCCTCTGGTGGCGGATTTTGGAACTTTTGAGACCGAATCCCCATAAGACATCTACTTACCACCACTACTACTACGACTACTATTACAACTATCTCGGCGAATTTCCTGTTTTGTAGACTTTTTCTTGGCGGAATTGTAAGTGGATCAGTTTATGATTGCGTACTTTTTATCAAAAAATTGCAGTGGGTTCTCATACTAATGCGAGAGTGGGAGCAAGGAAAATCCCGCGGGATTTTACACCCGCTCCAGAAGCTGAGAAACAAATAACATCGAAATCACTACCGCTCGTGATTCATTGTTGGACACGTGGCTTACCTTTTTATTCTATTGTTGATATGCATCATATACCCTGGAGTACCAAGTGCGCGCAATGAGTTTGGAATTATCATACACAGAACATACCAAATGCAAATATCAAATGCCCGGCAACAAAACTTTTTGATACAGAATGTAGTGTTGTGTGACCGAATGATGATACGATGGTCTCAAGCGTGGCCTTCCATTTCTGCGATTATAACCAACCATATACCACGTTTTTTTCGTGCTTTTTAGCAATCATCAGTAGGGTCTGGTCATTTGGAGACGAATGACGGAAAGTAAACAAGCGAATACGAGGTCTGTAAATCAAGTGATGAAACTGGCTGAGTAGTGTTCGATCTGGCAACACTGGAGGCGTCGGGCTTGAAGGGGATACAGGGTACATGTGATCCGCCTTCAGTACAAGTTTGAACTCGCTCGAGTCATTGTAGCGATGTTTTGTGTAACAGTTTTTTATATTGTGTTCTAAAATGAGTGACATCAATTTCAGGTAACAACGTGCTATCAGGTTTTGCTTCAGACTTGGACACAGTGCAACGGAAACTCTTGCTAAACAGGCCTAAGGTGATAGTGTTTTGTCAAGAGCCCAGATTTTTCGGTTTAAGGCATTTTCAGAAGGGAGAGAGTCGACTGACGATGAACCACAAAGAGTAAGGCCTTCATCTTCATGAACCAATGAAAATATCGACAGAATCCGGGATCTTGTGCGTTCAGATCGTCGGTTGAAAGTCAGAATGATAGGGGAAGAGTTAAATTCGACTCACCGCACCGTTGATCAGATCAAGACCAACTGGGTGTTGCGTCAAGATAATGTTTCTTGTCACAAAGCACTGTCAATAAACAATTTTTTAGCCAGTAAAACATTCCTGTGGCTCCTCAGCCTCGTTATTCGGCTGACTTGAGTAATTATAACTGTTTTCTCTTCCCGAAGTTGAAAAAACACCTCAAGGGAACTCCGATTTTGAGACAGCCGGAAACATTCCAACGGCTGTACCAGACCCGCTGAAATCTATTCCAATATCAGAGTTTCGGCACTGTGATGAGGAGTGGAAGCGGTCTGGCTCTAGAAGGAAGTTATTTTGAGGGTAAAAATATAAAATTGTAATCATATTTGAATAAATAAATTAAAACAAACAGTCTCATCACTTAATTTACAGACCTCGTATGAGCTTACCAAAAATTCAGTATATGTGGTGGGCAACATTGGCAGGCTTTTTAGAAGCGGACTCTGTCATTCGTCATTCAAAGGTGTCGGGAAAGTGGTACTCAAATACTTTGTATTTTCCGCCGAAATAGTCAGTGAATAGGATTATAACGATAGTAAAGTCTAGGTCATTATGAGTATTTAAAACAAGGCAGCAGCGGTGGCCGTAGACTCTTCGGTCTCCTGATCAGTCGCCATGCGCAGTGCGGGTTCGAGGCCCGTCCCAGGAGAAATTTTTCTCTTGGCTATGGATGTTGTGATTGTCCGTAGGTGGTAGACGGTTTCTGACTGTCGAACGCGGAGGTACCACCCGGCGGATCTCGTAGGCGGAGCCAGAACGTGTGCATGCTGCATGCACACGTGTTCCCTCGCCAGAGTCCGTGTGGCGTTCCCCCTTTCCCCTGTATCCCCTTATAGCCCCACGGTACCCAATAGGTGTTTAGGCCTTAGGCCTTCGTGGTAGTTGGAGTATAAAAAAAAACGCTATAATTATTTTGACAAAAACATTCTTTATCCAACATTTTAATGCAACAATAAAATTAATTTTAGTGAGTAGCTTTTTTAAAACCTTGACAAACAGTAAGAGTTCACTTGAAAATCAATCTGATCTTAAAATGACCTTGAAGGTCATGGTCAGGTTTATTGGCAAGGATATAGTTGAACCTAAAAATGGCGCCAAATTGCATTTAAGAAATTCAAAATAGATGTCCCCCGTTAAAAATGTTTTGGTTTTCAAATGACCTTGGTGGTGATAGTCAAAGTTAAAGACCTTCTTGAACACACAAAGTTTCTTGCTCTTTTCATTTCAGGTGTTTCCATTTAAGAAAATTGTTTTGACCTTCAAGTGAGCTTGAAGGTCATAGTCGAGGTCACTTTCAAGATCACCATTAAATGAATCTTTAAAAACCTTACAACGTATTTTGTCCGTTCCCTACTTTTTGGACATCCTCAAATAGACATGAATATCATGGTCGAGGTCTCTGGCAAAAACATACTTTAACGTAAAATTCCCACCTTTACACTTCTGGTATCAAAAATAGGGGTTTTATTTCAGAAAGGTGTCTTGACCTTCCAACCACCTTGAAGATCATAGTCAATGTTACGTTCAAGGTCACTATTAGATGAATCGTTACAAGCCTTACACTTTGTGTTACAACATTTTTTGTCTCCAGGAAACGTAGCTTTACAGATATGTAGGTATTTTTATTTATATATTTTTTGATCACTCTGTATATCTTCGCGGAAAAAACCATGTCTATAACCTTCCCAATGTTTCAATGGGTAAGTGTACATACGCACTTTTACTTCTCTCAGTATTGTGGTTAAGACGTGATGATGACAGACCTATTTAAACACAGGTTAGGAGACTTTGCACGGTGTATCATAGAAATTAGCAGTTTTTTCTAGTAACATAACATACACCAAAGTCTTAAAATTACCAAGATGTTAGTCTCCGCAAAATAAATCAAACCTAAATAATACCTATTCCAATCCTGCACCAGATCAAGCGTGAACACGTATAACGCGCACTGCTATCAAAGCAGTCGCTGGCCGCTTTGGTAAACAAAACCGTTACGCATCGGTTCTAAAAAACGAAACGAAAGGTCACTCATAAAGCATTATCGGAGTTGTCCATATTATTTTAATTTACGGTGAGTGTCTTCGAAATGCTATCGAGGCTTCGCGAGTACATGCAGAACGTTTTTCAAGATCGTTCGTGGTTTGTTTTTTGTTAGGGGCGAAATGAAATGTTTAGTATATAAAACTGCGGTTGAAAGGCTACGTGTGAATTAATCAATCTGCTGTATTAATTCGGGAAAGGAAGTCCATTCTGAAAGCCGTCAGCGATGGTTGAATACGTGGAGCTTATACACATATGTCAGGTGGCAGTGTCACCTTTATTTTTCGCACCCTACAATAATTAGCTCTCATTTACCGCTATGAAAACGGGCTTTGCTCCTCTAGCCTCTCCTCCATGAAGCCGTCGCGATATAGTTCTGTCATACGGTCCCACCAGGCTGCACGTTGCGTTGTTGATGTTTACCGAGGTTACGAACTCGTACACATCAGTAACTTTTAACGAGCAGTGTATTGTTATTTTCGAAAAACCGCATTCAATCGCTCAAACGTCAGACACCAAATGTATACGATAGCCTTGAAACGATTAAAAAGTAACAAGCCTGCTGGCTCCAATCCACGAACTTTATGTAACGATGCATCTAAAATCTAGAATGACGGAATAATATTTCAGTATCGGTTAACTATCGATCCATCGATCATGTTCAAGTGCGTCCACATCTCAAAGTTCCATCTGGTGAAACCCAACATGACCATGATGGAGATTTTCGACATGAACAAGGTGCTATGTCTTTTGGTCATAGCTAGGTCCTTCCACACAGTATTTGGAAACCTGTGAGGAATCCATGATATTTTCTGAATATGCAAGGTAAACGATATCCCAATGAGTGATTTTGGATGTTGCTTCGACTTGCCACGCAAATCGGAAGTGGCATAATGTTACATAACATGTACAGGATGTCCGGCTATAAATTGACCCCCTGTAAGTTTTTTATATGGTCTTCCAGAAAAAAGTTATATTGTCTAATTTTCATGTAATATTTTTTTGTCTCAGAAAAGTGCTATCGAATAAAGATTTTTTAAATGGAACACCCAGTATATTTTCAGGGAAAATGATAGTCCATTTTGTCTGATTCAAATACATAGAGTTTATAATACTTATTTTCATTAGGTTGGCCAAAAATAAGTCCGTGTGTCATTTAATCATATGCATCAGAGTTCGAACCAGTTTGCATCTAGCTGCCTATGAAATCTGGAATACGGTCAGAATATATAATAATATGATTACATGACACACAAACTTCACGTTTTTGGCTTAAGTAACAACAATAAGCTTAACGAACCATATATGTTTGGAATCAGAAAAAAGGGACTATCATTTTCTCTGAAAATATATATGGGGTTCGATATAAAAAATACAACTTTACTCGCTAGCACTTTTCTGACACCCTGTATACAAACAAATTACATATTAGAACATATAACTTTTATGTACAACTTCTTTCTGGAAGGTCATATAAAAAAGTTGGAGTGGAGGTCAATATATTATAGCCGGACACTGTGTGCAAAAATCAAAAATTCTCCAATTTTGTTCTAACAAACAAGCTTAAAAATCGTGGTCTTGTAGAGCAAGATTTTAGCGTTAATTTGGAGACTTGGCGGCCTGAAAAATTAAAATCTTTAAACGAGTTTGTAACCAATGAGTATACCCATTTTTGGCTTTTTTCCATACATTAAATCGCATATAGCTCAAAAACGGACAACTTTAGAGAAAAGTTAGTGGAGACCTTTTTTCTTCTAAACACACCAAAGAACCATGTCCGGGCGGAAAAAAAAACATTTCTTTTCTCGCGAATGCGATGTTCACGGCTCGAAGAATCTGTTAAAAAATGATCACTTAAAGTAAGTAGATTAAGGTTTGTACATGGCTGACACCCTGCACTGTTAGCAAGACTGAATATAATTGACTCAGATGCCTGCAAAGAATGTAACACACCCGCAATTTAAGATCATATTTGTTTGAACGCCGAAGATATCATGAAGAACCTAAGCGACTCTTACATACAATGGGGACTGTTCTATATACTCCCCCTAAAATTTAGAATGCATTATGTCCATAAACTCTATACTATATTCCATAGCATTGCTAAATTTGGTAGGGAGACCAATATATGTATTTAGCTTAGCTGCCGCTGTCACCGTGTTTTATCCTTTGTGTTGAAACCCACCGTGGCCCGTTTTGTTTGTCTATGAAAAGCCCCATGGTAGTCCCCTTGGTAAGGTATTCCCGTCTTTCACTTTATTCTCGTCTAGTATTTTCGAATTCGTTAGGTACAAGTAAGTTATGTACAAAAATTATAACATATAATTATATATGACATATTATTCTTTATTATTATCATTATTTGTTATTATACTTTTATTATTATTTATTATGATTTCTTATTATTTTTATTATTATTACTTATATAGAGACTGGACTCTTTATGTCCTATTGCCAATAAATGAAATTAAAAAAGATCACTGGATATCTTGGAAGTCAGTAATTGGTCATTTTGACAAACAAATTCCTTAAATATATTTCTATAGCTACAAATTACATCATCATCCTAACATCCATCTAAACTCGCCCGCAATAATCTGGCAACGGCGCACTGTTCACGAATTACAAATGAGTATTTTTTTTTAGAAGTTTTTTTGATCATTCTAAACAAAGAAGGCTTGCAGTAACTTTTTCCTACAGTTGACCGTTTTCAAATTATAAACGATTTAATTTCTAAAAAAGTTAAAAATGGGTATATTCAATGCTTAAAATATCAGTTAAAAATTATAGTTTTTCAGGTGAATCTAAATCAGCTAAATTAAAGCTAAAACCTTGATCTACAGGACCTCTGAAAGTGATTTAGGATTAGCTTATTCTTAAGTTATTTTTAAGCTTGTTTAGCAGGACAAAATTGGCGAACTTTTGATTATCGCATTATCCTTGGCCCCTCTACGGAAAACGACAAAAATAACAGCGATCTAACTTCTTTTTTACGCTGGGTTCCTCTATACGTCTATGACTAACTTGTGGTATTTTTGGAAAATACGAATTATTATTTTCATTCACGTTTCTCTGTTTGTTGCAATCATTTTCTATTTTCAAGTGCATGGGTGCAATGTATGTTGAGTGTTTCAGTTTGGGTAGAAAGTTAATAGAGCGGAACAATCATTTCATAGGACGTTAATTTTGAATAATATAATTTGAAATCCGTCACAAAACGTCATTTGATTTCGTAGGTGTCGATGGTTATTTCAATATGACTTATAGTATGTTTGCGGAGGTTTAACCCCAAATAAAAAATATGGGGCGACTTTGCGTTGCGTTGGAAACGACTTGATAGAAGGGGGAATTGGTTTTTTGTTTGTAAAATGGAAGAATGACTTGTATTGAAGTATTGACAAAATAAAACGTAATTTCGTCGAATTCCTGTATGTGTGTTATTAACCTCAGGACCACGGAAAGACTAGAACCCTAGAGGTTTAAAATACCTCTTCATGTTTTGGCCATACTTTTAACCCTTTATGATGTTAGATTTAAATCTTTGTGAAATCGGCCCTACGTGTTGCAAAAATCACGATTTTTTTGAAAAAACAAAGTATGTGATTTCTTTGATTAAATGGTGATTTGTACTGATTTTTTCTTTAAATCTCGTAATAATGGACTTTAAATTAACTGATTTTAATTATTTTATTTTATTCGCCCAAAAATATTTGTTTTCTAGATTTATTGTAACAAAATCTCCTCGGAAGCATACAAAAAACTTGTGTTGACCTGTCGAGCGCGTGTTCCTGTCGGAACAACCTGATGACGTGAGGTAGAATTGACTGGCTGACTGCTTACAAGCTTTCATTAAATCGTTGCCAAAACTTCTGAAAATTTGCGAAGAGCATAAAAATGATGCCGCAGTGCGAGCATAGTCTGTTGCCATTGATTGATAAGGTTCAAAGAAATGATGCAACCCTTTCTGACTTTAAGTCAAATACAAAAGTCACGGATACGAACAACGCATCACTTTATATCATCTGTTAGCATAATTTCTTGACCCGACAAAACCACATCATCTATTAGCAGACGACGAAAAGAGTTGACGGCCGCAAAAGAACTACTTCCCAGTGGGTTCTTGCCACTACTAATTCAATTCCTGGCAAAATCAGATCGTTTTCCCAACATAATGTTTGGTGAAGGAAAGTCTCAAAACTTCAAATGCTTTAAATTGGTGGAAACCCCAACAAAATATCGATGCTATTCAAAAAGTAGTATCGACATTTGGTATGGTACATCCCAAACTTTGAAATCGCTCGTGACCCGAAAAAGCTGCTAAATTAGTTTTCCTGTGTTACAATTGACTTCTTAAACAAGTATTTTATTCAGATTGTTCAAAAGAAGAAATTAAAAGTGAATTAGCTGTTAAAATTGGGCCTTAAAGGCTGTTGTACACGGTTGATGAGGTTAAAGTTCTTGGCGTAATGATCGATTTGGTGGAGAGATATACGTAAGAGAGATATGTAAAAAATCTCTTCAAGAAAACCTACTTGAGACTGAGATCGCTATATGCAAATCAAGCAACTTTTAATTTTAAACTAAGGAAAAAAGTGTGCTCACCTTTGGTTATGCCCATTTTCAACTACTGTGATGTTTTATATTATCCATGTCTCGATGTTATTATTAGAAATCGGATCCAAATTGTGCTAGGTTCATCAAACAAAAAATATTGTCAAATATCACCTTGTATTCATTCATAAACTAATATGTACTTATATCAAAACCGATATACTTAAGAGAAAAGCTGATCTTTAGGCGTAATATACTTGATAGATTTATTAGATTTCTAAATTTGATAACTACACCTATTCATTCTACAGCTTTATTGCAGCGTTCTTTCGCGTGCAGTGCTGCAGTTTTATACAATGCTTCGAGTCCTGAATTCAAGAACATGTCCTTGAATTGCTTCAAGAAAGCTGTCAAATCTCATATCTGCTTGTACCCATAGTTTCAATAAGTCGCTCTTGTCTATATTGTTAAATGTTTTTTCTTTACTTTGAGTACATGTAGCAAATTTTTGTGCAACATGTATTTTTTGTTTGATATCACCTACTTAAGATTAGCATGCTGCTAAACTTCGTCACCATATGCATATTTCCTGATGAGCTATTTCAGTTATTTGCTTTGGTGACACTGCATAAGGGTCTGCTCCAGTTCAAATGGATACATTCCAGCATTTTCCTAAATTTCACTACATATTTCGCCTGAACGTAATAACCTCACAAAACTATCAAAAAAGACAGCTGTTAAGTCGGTTAAATACTCGTACCATCCACATTAATTTTTCAATTCTCACATAAATGTTTCCGAGGCCTACATTTAGTCATGGATGACAGATTCAAGAACATCAGAATCACTGGCGACTGGCAAAAAGCCTTTCCGGTTCAGGCCACTTGAGGGACGATACCAAGTTTAGAAACCAGACGTTCCTTTAGCGACGGACATTTTCAGATTGCTTCAGCCCAAAACGGTGCCGCAACAATAATAGTGATCCTACTATTTGTAGTCTGTACACTTCGCTCATACGTAACTGAAAATAGCATCTAATGATCACTTCATATTTTTTTCAGAGAAAAGAAAATCCATGGACCAGGCACTAAATCCAGCGACAAATGAATAGACACAAATTACAAGTCTCAGACTCCAAGTTGAATAGAAAGCTCATAGACGTCTATCTAGCGAATGAAAAGGCTCACGAACATGGAAGAGTAAAAATAATATTTTCGAACGATTTTTTTGAATGGAGGCAACTAAATCTCCTGTCTACTTCGATAATATGAATGCGAGGAATTTTGATATCATTTGCGAATACGAATCGAGACATTTTTATACGCGAATGTGACATATTTAAAGCTCTCAAATGAAGTGATTATGTTCTTTTTATATTTAAGAATGCAAGAAATGTGTATATGCAGTAAAGTATCCTTGAATGATCCTTGTTATTATTACCTATGTATAGCAAAATACGACAGGAGGAGGGAAAGAGGGTCCGTGGCGTGTAGCGTGTCCCAATATTCCGTGAACATATAAGTACCACGTATTTTTAGACTCAAAATAAAACGATTGGTCATAACTTACCTCTATGCAAAAGAGCCTGATTTGTCCGTTCGAGGGGGTTAGTTTTCTTTTTAAAATACATTTTTTTCAGATATTTTTGGAACCGACAGTCCGATTTGAATGAAGTTTGGAACAAATGTTTTTTGCTAGACGTCCTAATATTTGACTTTGACTTACAAAAAACCCAAAAGGGTTCGAAAACGGTGAAAACTTCCCCCACCCCTATCTAAATTATAGCATAATTTTTTCGCAACTCTCCCAACGACTCTGATTCGGAGAGCCTGTTTCTATAGATGAGAAAAAATTTAGTAAGTAAAAAGATCTGCTAAATACAAAAAATCAGAGTCGTTGGGAAAGATGTAAAAAAACTTTGCTATATAACAAGTCAAATATTAAGACGTCTAGTTAAACACATTGCCCATATATTCTGGGAGAGGGAGGTTAATGGACAACATAACGTAAGATTTTCGTAGTGGCGGTTTACAAGTTATATTGAAATTAAGTTATTTTGTGCATAAAAAGGCAACTCGCATTCGTGCTTATCTGAAAGAATTTACGCAGCTTAATATATTCAACTTTTAGAATCATAATAATGAAAAAAACGTTGTTTACTCCTTAAACACCTTGAAAATTCCAAAGGAAGAACGTAAAATTTTACTTTGCAGCAGGAAGAACCTTTCCATATATTTTGTGGCCCACCATAAATTAGATATTTACGTATATCTCGCCAAATAGGAAATGACTATTAAAGCTTTAAATGTTAGATGCCACCATCCAGAAGTTTGACAAAAAGAAACACAAAATTTATCACACATATGTAATTGCAAAGCGAGAAAAAAGATTAAATATTGCTTCTGGGTCTACGCTGAAATTTTTTCACCTAACTCAGTACATTTAGAGCCCTAACTACTACTTTAGTACCGTCGAAATATTAAAACAGAGGGTGGCACCTTTCAGTTTCAAAGCATCCCAATTCCCAACCTGGAAGCAACTGCAAATTTTGGGAGAATAAATAAATTGTTAACTCAAAAATTGGCAAATTCGCCCAGAACGTGATCAGCAATTTTTTCACAAGGGAGTCTGTGATAACGCATGACATGATTTTGCATTGTTGCCAAGATCGAATGGCATATCGGCGAAACAATGCCATGCCATATACCAGGTGTTTCGAATTCGACACTCACGATTGGGATCTCGGAAACGGTAGAAGACGCTTAAAGCGAGGCAAAGTTGTGTATTTAGGTAACTAACAAAATGCAGCTTAGAAATTTCTGACATTCAAAGTATTTTCGGAGAGAGACGGAAAAAACGATTTTTCTCAGAATCGTTTTATTGTTTTACTGACTTTACTTCTAGTGGGATTCCAAAATAAATTGAACATTAACATTATCACTTCTTCTCCTCTCCAAGATGTCATAATCAGAATTTCAATATTAATTCAACATTATTTTTTCGCCATATTGGATATCTGCACAGATGAGTGGTTTTTAATTCTGATTCCAACAATGTATTTCAAAATAAATTTCATGTTGTCATTATCGTGATCATGGAGATCTGAAGCAGAAAACACAAAACCAGGAAATAAATGACTATCTGATAATTGCAAGGCCTACCTAGGAAATTCTTTTTTTAGGTGACCAGGTTTTGGTAATGTTGATGTATTCATATAACATGTTATACAGGGTGGTCCATTAGTCCTTTGAAATTTCAAATTTGAATAAAATTTAACGGGTGAGCGTGAGCGGCGCGGGCGAGGTGGGGGCAGTATCTTCAGTGTCTGGGAATTCAGTCGCCATGGAGTGTTTCACTGGAGCGGATCGTGCTTTTTGTGTGCGCGCATTTTATCAAAATAATGATTCGGCAACCATTGCGCGGCGTAAATATCGAGAATACCACAATTTACACAATTTTACAAAGTGTCCAACAGCTCAAACCATTAAGAACTGGGTTGCTAAGTTCGAAGAGACTGGTTCGACGTTAGATAAACAGCGGTGGGGTCGACCAAGGACAACTCGTATTGAAGAAAACATCAAAATTGTGGCACAGTCTGTTCGTCAAAATCCTACCCAGTCTACTCGTAAGCGTTCCAGTGCACTAAACGTACCCAGAACATCTTTACAGCGGATTTTAAGGAAAGATTTACGTCTGCACGCTTACAAAATTCAGTTAGTGCAGGAATTAAAAGATAATGACGCTATTCAGAGACTAAACTTTGCGAATGAAATGTTGAATCGATTTTCTTCGCTCAATAATGTGTTGTTCTCGGACGAGGCTCACTTCCATTTAAACGGGCATGTAAATAAACAAAATTGCCGTTATTGGAGCCCCGAAAATCCAAGGCGTAAGCATCAGAAGCCCTTACACAGCCCTAAAGTTACAGTTTGGGCTGCTATGTCAGCGCATTGCATCGTAAGCCCTTATTTTTTGAGGACGACAGAGGTGGCGCATTAACTGTTACTTCGGAGCGGTATGTAGCAATGATAGAAGAGTTTTTGACACCAGCGTTGCAGAATTTTCCAGGCTATAATACGCAGACCTGGTTTCAACAGGACGGAGCAACTGCCCACACCTCCAACACTTCTATGCCCGTCGTCTGTCAACTTTTTCCCAGCAAAGTAATTTCTCGAAGAGGAGACATTTCCTGGCCACCACGTGGTCCAGATTTGACCTCAATTGACTTCTTTTTATGGGGCTACCTCAAGAGTAAAGTGTACGACACCACTCCGCGATCAGTTGATGTCCTGAAAGAAAATATCCGAAGAGAAATGGCAAGCATTACAGTGTTGACTTGCCGCGCAGTCATCGACAATTTTAGACGTCGTTTATATGAGTGCCGTGATCGTAATGGATTGCATTTAGACGATGTGATTTTTAAAACATAATTCCCATTCAATAAAGATGATAACAAAATATAATAATTCTTCATAATGTAACTAGTTTGGTTTTATTCCTTTTTTTCCAGCTCAAAGGACTTATGGGCCACCCTGTATATTTTTGATATCGGAATTGAAAACTATTCATCTGTGCAAAACTTCAATCTGGGGTCTATTAGAAAATAAAGTTTATGCTGGAGAACAAAAGAAGAAAGGTCGTATTGAAATTCTAATTATACCATCTTGTAGAGGAGAATGTGCAATTTATCTTGAAATCCCACTACAAATAAAGTCGGGAAAAAATTGAAACGATTTTGAGTTAATTCGGTTTTTTCGTCTCTCTCTGGAAATACTTTGAATTTCGAAACTTTCCTATATAAATACGAAAACTTGTCCCCATTTAAGCAACTTCGTTACTTCTACCGTTTCTAAGATCCCAATGATGCGCGTCGAATTTGAAACACCCGGTATATGGTTGGCTGTATTCAGATAGAATATGTTAATCAACAACCCATGGTACTTGTGAAGTTCCCAGACTCTTGTCGTTGGTGAAAATCGAAGAGGAGAAATCGCAGACGTCCATGGAAAATTCTCAAAAAAGTTGGTAAGACTATACTTTAGCGCATATCGCAAATATTTCATTTCTTATTTTAAAATGAAGGATTACGATGAAACTTTCACGAAAATATCATTTTTTGTTTAAGGAACCTTGCTCCGATTGCCCCTAAATAGCTCTGGTCTGATTTTGAATTATTTAGCGACATACCTGTACTTATTGATTAACGTCATTATGTCCGACTATTGATTATTATAATTCGCTCTAGGGTACATACAATATTCCTAAGAGCAATACAGTAACCCACTCCTGCTTTATAAAAGTAGGCAATTTTTATTAAAAATGTATAAGTTTTAAACGCGTCATTTTACTGAATTACTCGTATCCTGTGGGGAAATTCGTTTTTTCCCACATTCCCAATGTAATTAACTATTTTGTTCGAAGTATAATAAATTAAGTCATTCTGAATCGATGCGAAGCTTTTAGCATATTAAAGGGTTGAAATTTAGCTAAAAGGGATGTATATTGGAGCTATTGAAGCAAAATATTAAAAAATGAGGGCTACATTTTGATATGTACAGCATCAAACACAGACACAAGAATAAATAAGGCAGACACCAGAACCAGCAATAATACAAAATTTCTAGGATATTAACAGAAACTAACACTATGCAAAATTGTATACTGATGCATCAAAACTTAACAACAGAGTATAGGAAAAGCTGTATGACATTCACCACTACTCTTACGGCGCAATTTCACTGAGGCAACAATGAACGACATGTGGCATGCCACTTGTTTCCTACGCCGGCTACACACGTTGGCCCCAACATTGGTACCAACGTTGGTCGGTTAAGTTGGTGAAGCGTCCACACGTTGGTTATTATACTAGTTCCTTTCTGTCATAGCCAATGTGAAGATGTCCGACACCGAAACCGAAATTGCTCTAAGCGCTTTTACAGTACTGATGAGTGCGTATAATTTATATTTGTTATGGAAAAAAAAGCCACGTCAAAGGAGATGGTGGATGACAACGCATCATAAAACTCGGTACCAGTAAGTACAGACCATACACTCCATTCTAGCAGCTTTTTACATATGATGACATATCTCCACATACGCACTTGACACGTGTTACAACAAGACTGAGCCAGTGAGCCAATATGTGGACGGATTGCCAACGTTGGCGCAGATTCCTTTGAATAAAACCGACAATCGACAGCCAACTACCAACGGTCGCTCCAACGTTGGGGCCAACTCTATTTTCTAGATACACACATTGGGCGGGTGGCGTTGGGGCCAACGTGTGGAGCCGGCGCTAGTGTTGCCTCTTGTTGACGTTCGACAGTGTTGCCCAAAATTCTATTAATGCCGCATGCGGATTTTGTTCCCCTATATGGCATGCGCTTTGTCGTACATGCGTGTAGCATCATGCGTCTTCACGA